AGTGAGCTACATAAGTTCCTACTATTACGTCACACGCATTGTTTAGTCCCAGTCCCTTTTGCGCGGTTTTCAGATTTTTCACAAGGCCAAATTCAATGTTTAAACGGCAATAACTTTTACACTAAAAAAGCAATTTCAATTCCGTTTCGGAATTTCCGTATATTTCGTATCATAGATTTCGAAAATATAAACTCTCATTTTGTGACAGGGACACTTTAAGATAATATTTGCTAGTAATACGCTAGAGCTCTTAGTTCTGTAATGGTTAATCTTTAGGAATGATTTGAACGTATATCCTCCGTTTTGGTTTTTTAGCTGACGAAGGAATAGTTAATGTTCGAATGTCCCAAAACCACATGAAATTGAGCAAGCGCGAACAGAGCAACAACGTCTGTTTTTATGCGAACCCTGAACATATATTTTTACCGCCTGATTACAAAACTGTTATTAATCACCTTTTTCCTTAAGTCTATTACTTTTGAACAATTTCCGCTGCCATCAACATTTTAGCTAATGAAGCTCAGACAATTGTATCTTGACCGAAACGTCCATTGAAAAATTCGTAAGATAAAAACAACCAATTGCCATAAATAAACCTGAACTACGAGATGTTATATTGCAGAATTTTGCGGCTTATACGATTGCAATTTCAAAGCAGTGGAAGATACCAACCAGTTGGTGATGGTTTTCTTATCTTGAAGATCGTTGATGTCTGACCTGCGATGTATTTCACCATTTTTAACTTCAAACAACGGTGTGTTGTTCTTCTCCTTTCTATCCACAAATGGTATGAGATCAGTGACTGCACGTGAATCCAGTTTCAAATCGGGATTTTTGTATGCTTGGTGTATTTGGTGGACAGAATTCTGTACAGCTTCCACAACAAGATTGAAATATTCCTAAAATAACCAACACTTAGATATTATATTTTCCTATATATGTCAGTATTATTTAATTTGTTATATTGGGAATCTGATTTCTTTAACTTTACCAAAAATTCTAATTTATCATACATATGATAATGGCCAGCTTTCATGAAACAATCTCATGAGAACACGAAAAATTGGGGACCAATTTGGAATTGAAATACCGTTTTATGCCGGCAAAGCAAAACACCGAATTCCCAGAGGAAACATCGGGTTATTAAAGTGGTTAAACTAGCTTTGTAAAGGATTACTGCAAAACAATGATAGAATATCTAGTGCTCGCGGCCATTTTATTGGCCCGATTTATATCAACTCATCTGGAAAAGCGTTTTTTTCTATTCCTCATATATTCCTTCCTTGAAGTGAAATCCTTGCTTCTTTTGTCTGATTCTTATTGGAAATGTCCCAAACAAGGCATTTTTATCGGCATTTGTTGAACTAGCTAAGACTAAAACAATAACAAAATATTTCCTGAATCGAACATAATAATACGAACACTTAATAAACGGTAAACTGTTTTGGGGAATAACCTCATATTGATGGTAATTTGTAGTGCAAAGCAAAATATACAGTATGTGCTATAAGTTAATGCAACAACCTGAAAAATATAATGAGAATTTCGACGTTTAGTGCGAAGGCTCTTCGTCTGGAGTTATTAGAGAGTTTAAGTTCGACTTACCATACCAATATCGATATAGATGACTTTACTTCCGTTCTCATTTTGGTATCGGGAATTTTAAAGCGTTAAGTTATCACGACAGATAAAGTATAGAACACGTTAATCGTCGCCGAAAATGTGCGGTATACTAAACGGCAGCTGATCTAAAACATGACTAACATTCCGACTAAAACATGCATGACTCAGGCGATGCTAATAAACAAATAGTTGACGTGTTTCTCGAAAAAATTATGAAATATCCGATTTATATGAGTTTATCTTACAATTTCCACGACTTCCAATACCAGGCTGACTTCGGTAGTGGTGACTTCCAATACACTTGTCATCGTGCTTCTTGCGAGCAGAGCGCATGCGCATGACCTGTTGTTAGTATCGGTATTGGTATCGGAAGTCGAACTTAAACTCTCCACTATAGCTACGAAGGCCTTCGCTCAAAACGTCGAAATTCCCCTTATATTTTTCAGCACTACCTACAGATATTTTTTATACTACAGTACCAACACTGGCACAAATAGTTCGAGAGTTTAGGTTAAATCGCCTACTTAAATAGCCATTTTGACTTCCTCGATTTAAACCTCCTTTTAAATCGTTTGAAGACTCGCCAATTTGAATAGGTGCAAAGTGTTTTCGAAAATAATAGGTTATTTAGGTAACTTTTGTTCACTTAATTCTCCTTTTTAATGACTTGTTCGTCCCGCATTGACTCGACAGGTGTTCTATATTTGGAATATTTTACTCAATCTGATTGAAGAACGACCGCGTTCCCGCATTTAAGGCCCTGTCACACTATTGCGTATGAGAGAAACGTATGAGAAGCGTATGAAAATTAATGAAATACTTTTCATACGCACAAAAATCCTTTGAAATGCCAGCGTATGAGTACCGTATATCTGGCGTACCTCTAGCGTATTCAGCGTTTTCCCAGAGTATGCTTATCGTATAAACCATACGTCCGATACGCACAAAATTTTTGAACATGCTTAAAAAAATGTTCTGCCTCGCCGTATGCCAGCGTATGCCACCGTACGCAACCGTGCTTGAAACGTATACAACCTATGCCTAACGTACCTCTAGCGTATGTCAGCGATTATATACCGGCGCAGTATAAGTGATATTTTTCATACACTGGCATACGCTAGTGCGATACGCAATAGTGTGACAGGGCCTTAAGGGACTGTTTCGGTTTTACAAAATTGTATAATTTAAAATTAAGATTTCAAAATGAATATAATAAAGTGGAAATTGCACTTCGTGCCGTGCAAGTTTGAATAGGTAATCGCATGGGACCGAGTAAAATTAAGGTTTAATTTCACGCGTACGCGTGTTTGCAAAGTTTCACAAATTACACGAGTCGCGTAGCGACGAGCGCAATTTGTGAAACTTTGAAAACACAAGTGAAATTAAACCTAGCTTAATTTTACGAGAAACTATGCGATTACTTGTTAATCATATCATTGAGGCAAAATTTATTCGTATGTTAATTGTGAACTTGTCAAGTTCTTGAACCTCGTATGCCTCTATGTCTTCGCCGATGTTCCTTAATCCTGCCAATTTCTTAAATACATGCACCAACCGCACCCATAAAATTATACTTTTTCTAGCATTCTCACTAGAAGTTTTTAATTCTTCAAATAACATATTAACATTATTATTATTCATTGTACTGCGTTCTCGGTTTTTCATTGGCTAAGAGCCTACAAATAATTTTTGGTATTTGTAGGTGCCTGCGCTATTTCCAGCGGAAATAGTAATCTGCAGAGGTTATTGGACGGCGTCCGAGATATTTCAGCGGTATTTTATGTTAAAATACAAATTGGCGGGAAATTTTTAGTTGAGCGGCTTTTTCAATTGTTTACAATGGCTAGTGCTCGTTTCGCAATGTTTTCAACGCAGGAAATTGAAAAAATCGTGGAAAACAAGGACTCAGAGAACACCAAAAAAAGTACTAAACTGGCAAGAGAGGTTTTCAATATTTATATTTACGAAAAGTTAATCAATTGAATGAATATTTATTTGTTTTCAATTGTTGCTTGTTTTGTTTTCTTTCTGTCACAAAATGAATAATAAAACAATTATTGAATTCGGCTTATGCAGGATACCAGAATTATTTAGACCTCGGTCAATGTTTTCTGCCTAGCCTTCGGCTTCGGCGGATAACATTGACCTCGGTCTAAATAATTCTGGATATCCTGCTCAGCCTCATCTAATAATTGTTAATTATCCGCAACTACAAAACAAGCTCGAGAAGGCATTGTTTTTATTGCTATTTGAAACAAGAAATTTCCCGCGCTTGCGTCCTAGCCAATCAGGTACAAGGAATTTTGCCCTGATTAAGAAAAAATGTCCTTTTCATTAGCCAATCATATTTGAGTAATTTTTCCCTCTATGTGATTTGCTCTGAAATCAAATGAACGCGTTTCATTTCAGACCTAATGATATAGGAGGGAAAAATTACTCAAATATGATATTGGCTAATGAGGAGTGCGTTTTTTCGTAATTCAGGGCAAATTTACATGTACCTGATTGGCTGAGATGCAAGCGCGGCAAGTTTCTTATTTCGGATAATGATGTTATTGAAGAATTAAAAACTTCTAGTGAAAACTTGAACACTAGAATAGTACAAATTTATTGGTTGGAGTATTTAAGAAATGCGCAGGCAGGGCAGCATTAAGAAACATTGGCGAAGATATATATATATATATATATATATATATATATATATATATATATATATATATATATATATATATATATATATATATATATATATATATATAACGCGTTCCAAAGAATTTTGAACAATTCCAAACTTCGAATTTTGACTCAAATTTGCAATATTTTGCAGAAATTTCTCATTTTTCTGCCAAAATACGGTATAATTGCCAAGTCAACGTAATTTTGCCCCAAATTTCAAAGAAAAAGGCGATTTCCTGCGAACTTGTGTCGAAATTGTGTTGATATATAATCTTGATTTTCGCTGACAGCAATTCTTCTGGCTTACATTTTTGTTATTTTTCTATAATTTGTGCTGAGTGTGTTCAGTCTACTTCCAAAATCAATTAAAATCGAAGGAATTGGTAGAAAAAAGCTTATTTTTAATGTTTTTAGCTAATTTTCGCCGAATATTCTGATAAGTGTTTATTTTACCGCACAATACCAAACTTTTAAACAAAAAAAAATGAACTGTCTGCTAAAATGCATGTGCAATAGAATAACTGGTGTAATATATAGGGGTGTCTTAATTTCAGACTCCTCTATCGCTGGAAATTGAATAAACGATCATGCAAGATATAGTTATATGAGTGTCTGAAATTCAAACACCCATATAGCTCGCAATAGAGCCTTATATTCTATTGCGAGTTATATGAGTGTCTGAAATTCAGACACACTATACGGGTGTCCGAATTTCGGACACTCTTATATTATATTGCGCGCGAGTTATATGGGTGTCTGAATTTCAGACAGCCATATAACTCGCAATAGAATATAAGGGTGTCTGAAATTCAGACACCCATATAACTCGCAATAGAATATAAGAGTGTCTGAATTTCAGACACCCATATAACTCGCAATAGAATTAGATAAGATCATAAGAGTGTCTGAAATTCAGACACTCATATGTTTTGCTGTAGCCTCCTCCGCAGACATCTCGTGGTTCACATACTTTACAATTTGTTTTGCCTGCAAGTAAATTTCGCCCGCCAATCTAAAGGCGATGCCTGCGGAGGAGGCTTCACGAGCTGCTATATTTACTTATCTGGCCTAGAAAAAAAAAGTTAGAAGTGCAAAATATGACTGAAAGTACAATGGGTCAAGAAACTAATGAAACGACAATAATGTTTTGCGGTTAATTGGTCAAAGCACATATTAGATCAGTACAATTGTGATGAGTTGGTCTTCATGCCAAATGGCCCAAATCCTTGGAGCATGGGTGCGCATAATCACCCGATTTCTCATCAGCAAATTCAAACAGAGTAACGTTATGAATACTTGCAATGCGAACTACTATATGGCGATTGACGAGTCTTTGCATGGCGAACACCTGAAATTATAGCGAAATACAAGCCTAGTCTTTATGAATACCACATAAACTGTCTGCCTGATAGCGTATTTTACTTTCAGATATCGTTGGCAATAGTTTTCAAAGATTTACTTGTCTGCAGCTTTGGATTATGGAAAACATATATAGCTTCATTAATTTCGGCTTAGTATAGCGCACGACAAGACGCGATATAAACACTTGTAGAACATTCGTTTGGCGGTATGGTAAATAAAATGAAATATAATGCCGCGCTA